GACTTCAGATGCATAAGCAATAAGAAAAATACCTACTACAATCTATCTAATAGATAAAATATTGTTTGAGTCTTATACTTGATATATAATCATAGGTGTAAATACGATACAACACAAAAATACTCAAAGACTTAGGAATTTCTAGAATATACAAGTGTTAAGAAATCCTAAGTTAAGTTTGTGCAATTGTTTTGACAGAGTAACAACTCTTTTGTTGTCGAGGCGCAATGTTGTATATTCTCCAAAGAGACGTTGGAGAAAACTTCTTACACAAGTGAGTATTTTGGAGAAACATCATCATAGACATTGGAAATCTTCCTGAAATGGTTGATGTCGTTGAGAGGCTATTTGAAACTCCTTTCTTACGAGAGGAATCAGTTGTATTCCATCTGTCTTTTGCAGAATTTCTGCTAAGTCTTCATATGATCAGAAGAAGACAAAATGTCTTCAGAGTATGACAGTGGTCTATCAGAGTTTTTTGATCCTAGAGCTTTTACTTAATTTAGGTTTAGAGTCTTCAGAAGATGAGCCTTGGCTTTTGATCCTCCTGACTCTGATTCTTTAGAGGTTAACTTGATCTTCAGAGATTAACCTAATTAGAGTTTGGGATCTTCAGGTTTTGATCCTTGACCTTGTTCAGAGTTTGAGTCTTCAGGATTTGATTCATCAAAGGTTTACTTTTCTTTAGACTCTAATCTTTAGAAGTTGGCCTTTTCAGAGGCTTATGCTTTAGAGTCTGATCTTTAGAATCTACAACTTTAAGTTTTTCTTTGAATGTTCAATACAGTATCATAACTGACTTTGAATCAGAATATTAATCTATTTTCCTACACACTTGAACAAATATTAGTATACTCAATTGTTATTTAAATACTTTGTTATCATTAAAACCTAAGGGATATGGTACAGACTAATTTTGTTCCAAAATAAAATATTATCAAAAATACCTTAAAGTCGTGCTAGATGAGTTAGAAGTTGTTAGAAAAGCTCTGGGCAAATTTTTGTTTTTGCCAATCGATTGGCACTTATACCTAATTGATTAGGTCAATTCTAAAATGCTCCCTAAGCAATTAGTACATTATCTTATTGATAGGAAATGTCTATATATATTTTCTTTCCTTTTTAAGCTTGTTAATCAGTTATTTTTAGGCCAACCAATTCATTTGAGCATTATGCCAACTGATTGGCTCATCAACTATAGCCCTAAATTTTCCTTTTTTTGTGCCAACCTCTAACCTATAAATATAGGTCACTTACAACTTATTTTAACATTCAAAACCGTGATCCTTCACTCATCACTCTCTCTAAAAATCTCGTTTTACTTTCTCTCACTAAAGTTCAACTGTAACGCTTTCGAGAAAGTCATTTTACAAGTGAGGCAGTTGTAATTTTAAAAGAGTAGTTTTGCAAATTCACAAAGGGATTTTTTTTTACCTTTGTTGAGTAATCCATGCATTTAGAGATTATCTATTTGAGTTATAAGTTAAACTCGTCAAAAGCTTGGTTTTGGAGCTTTATTTATTAACTGCACGATTCAATTCAAAGGATCAACCAGTGTAAAAGTCGTCATTCGGTTCAAGCTCATCTCGGTGTTAAAATCTTATTAAGTTTGGATATAAGGCCTATATAAAATCTCATAGGTTCTTTGTTAGCGTGGCATAAAACCACGGTTATGTTCGTGAACCTAGCCCGGTGTTAAAAGTTTTCTCAAGTTCAAGATCAGCTCGTGTAAAATCTTGGTGTGAAGCTTGAAGACCAACCACTCCAAATTTCTCGTGGAAAGAGAACTAACCTCTTTAATCCATCGTTTGGAAGGAAGACTCACCGCTTCTTTTCTTGTTTGTTGTTTGGTTGCAATTTAGCCATAAACTTCATTTTCCTTGTATAAGGGGGTTCAAGAGTTCAACCTACTAAAAGCTCTTAAGTTTATTGAATACTCTCAAGATCAAATTTTGGGGACATGACTAAGTCCTCCTTTACTAAACCTGTATAATTTTTGGGATTTTCTCTTTTCCCTTAAGTTTTAATTTCTGCACTTTATCTTTTGAATTTTATTTTCCGCTGCTTACTTTCAAAAAATTTCTAAAAATGTTTTTTAATTCTTATATTAATAAAAAAAATTCAAACTCTATTTTTTATAAAAACACACGAGAGAGGGGTTTTAAAGGGACTTTTACCGACATGCCACCAATAGTATAAGAGACTTTCAAACTTTCACACACCATCTCGAAGGCTCTAACAAAGTCCCAACTATTAGGGGCTAGCCAAGGGGTGCATTATTGATGACTCTTAGGACCTCCATTGCGAAGGGAGAAAATGGGAAGATGACTCTCATGTCCTTGATAAAGGGAAGGTAAAAATATAAGTAAAAGGAGGGAGAATAAGAAGGGACGACCATGGTGCCCTCTCTAATGGTGAACAGACCTCCAAAATGACTTCATATGTGTCTTCTAGAGAAGAAATGTCTATCTATGCCCGATAGGAAAAGATCTACTCCTTAGTGATATAAGAGGTCCCAATATCCTTGACCTTTTTAGACACGACGGGAGGGAAAACTATTATCTCTTCGTTCCTAGAAAAAAAAAGAACAAAAATAAATCACTACCATCATCACAATCGTTAATATAAATACTAAAAGTCCTCTTTCACACAGCTCTACGCCAACCTAGACCCTACTATAAATATTTTCTCTAAAATTTCTATCCATAACTAGCACGAAAAAGAAGATATATATACATGGGAGAGTTGTGGGCAAGGGAGAAGTTGGAATAAGCTTGGGGAAAATTGGGCAGACTGAAAACCAGAGGAAGCATGCATAAAATTGTGCGAATTGAGTAGAGAAATTAAAAAAGTGGAATGGGGAAGGCATTATAAAGAAATAGAAGCCATGATCGTTCATAAATCTTGTAGACTCCCACTGGAGCTTTGAAAGAACCTAGCATATTTCTAACATGTTCTAAGATTATTTAGAGTCTCTGAAATAAATTATTATTACTTACATTAAATAAAACCAAGTATGTATGTCTAAGTGATTGATGGTTGACATCCCCAATTGACACTCCTACTCAAGTGACATTTGACAAGGAGGTGATGACTTATCCTTAACTGAACGACTCGCCTCCAAGCAAAAGAGGCGTCTTCAATTGAAGAACTCACATCAACTAAGTAGGGGTAGTAAAATGGATTGTGGCCCGTCAAGTCAGTCCGCGCACCAGCCAAAAAATGGTGGGTTGGATTGGACTTTTGGGCCCACCAAAGCCTGTTTCGCCTATTTTTCCAGCAGGCTTGTCTGTCCCGCTTTTTTTTACGGGCTTAAGGTGGGGCGGACGGACGGCCCATTTTGTCACCCCTATAACTAAGGGACTCGCCCCTAACTAAGGGACGCACCTCAATTTAGAAGACTCATCCCTAACTACAAAGTTCAACAAAAGAAAAATAAAAGCTTAAAACACTTCGTCCTTTACAAGTCCTCGTGCTTGAGAAGTTGCGTAGTGATATATTTATGTAGGCCCCCAAATAGGGCGGCATGTTTCCCTCTATTAGGTGTCCGCCCCATGATGTGTCACCCATGGTGTATCCTTTACGTGGCACTTGGGCTTGCCCTAAAGGAAAAACATGGATAATATTATTTACCATTCTCTAACTGCATGTGCGAAGTCATGCTCATGACTCTATAAAAAAAATAAGTAGTCAACAGTTTCCCCCAGTTAAGAGGAAATGATTACCACTTCTTGAGGGATTCCTTGAACTCTCTGTCCAAAAAAACCCTTACAAATACCCCAATCTTAAAGTTGAGGGAGATATCGTAAGACTCATAAAATACCCCAAAAACTACCGAGCTTCTCACATCACATGAGTTTGCTCTCATTACCGTAAACACCACCAAACATAATTACTCACCAAACATAATTACTCACCAACGTAAACTAATTCTAAACCACCAAAAAACTACCAAGACCTCGAGTCACCCCTACCAGTATAAAGGTATCCCGCATTCTGTACTTTTTTAGCAGTATAGTTTTAAACCACTATGAATCATACAAAAGTAGGAGTGCCACGAAAACACTCACCGAATTTTTCTAAAATTCAATTTTAACACATCAGGCAGATATTATGTTTGCTATAAATATTTAGTAAATTTAATATGTATGTATTAACAGAGTCAGCTAATCGTGGCCGTTAGATTGTCAGAATGATTCGCCCAAACAGCAGGCAGCAGCATGATTTGTGTAGAACAGATTTTATGAAAACCATAGAGTTCCAACCACGCCGAACAGACCCCTTCAATGTTCATAAAATTAAATCTCATGATGACAAATAAAATAAATAACAGATCAAGTTTTTGAAAACCAACTAAAGATATTGCAACCAAAATCATAAAGCATGGCAAGAGCAAAGGCTATTTAATGCTTGACATGTCACTCTGAATTATAACTCTAAGCCGGACCTTGAGGCACGGAAGCACAATCCTGTAATGCAATACTATCATTGTGAACTATTTGTATTTCGATTGTCAATATCAGAGTGATTTAATTTGCCAACAGAATGGATTGTTTGCTACGTTTTACTACTAATAGTAAGTTTCCATAATTTGTATGCAATGTTTAATATCTTCCTACATATTGCTATATAAAGATATAGATAAAATCATGCATTTAATTTATAAATACGTGTTGAAGGTGAAGCAAAATTTCACACAAAATAGAAGTCCCCAACAACAGCTATCTAATAAATTCAGCCCCTCCAACGTATAAAATGAACAGATACAAAAAGACAATGCCTGCCTGAAAATTGCTACCATCAAATTCTAGTTAGATCAGATGATGGTCCCAGAATCCCCCATATTAGCATTTCACATCATCATCTGTAAGTCGATAAATATGGTATGCTTCTAGCAACACAAATAGCAGAAACATACATGCAGCGGCCTTGCACATATTAGACAGACATTCAACACACGAGACAAATGCTAACCCCATTAGAACAGAACACATTTCTCATCATCTACGCATTCCTCGTCCACGACCACGGAAACCGCCTCCGCGGCCTCTGCCTCCCATGGCACTTGCAGCAGCCTCTCCTTGCGCACTCTCAGACTACATAGATTTAATAAATAAAACAAATCAAAATAAAAGCCATAAATGAAGTTACCCATTTCTTGACATGATTCAAAATAAGTTACATTTTTGTTTGTGTCTAGAGTAAAAAATCATTCATAACTAACAAGCTACAACTAGAATAAAATGAAAGCAAATCATTTAATCAACATAAAAAATGGTTCACGACAACATAAATCTGCTAATCAATCTACGGTTTAAAATTCACATGGTGAGACCTAACTAGAATCATCTAACCAAAAGTGTTTACAGGATGTTTATATATCCATTAAACATGCAACAACTAATTAGGTAAATATAAAGATTTCTTCGTTTTTACAATATAATCAAATGATTTTTTAATGAAACTGAAATATTTTTCATTAAAATCAACGAAGAAGCAGTTGAATGTATAATCTTAGAGAGAAACATGGTGTTAATATCAAAGCAAACAGGAAAGTATCAGATACACAAGTCTTGGTACAGTTACTTCATTTATATAATATGAAAAAGTTGTGTCAATGACTTCAAAAAAACAAATAATTTAGTTAACTCACCGTAACTTATTAGTTATTTTACAGAAGGAGCAAGGGTAAATTGGGACAAGGAAAAATATCATTCCAGAAAAGAAATGACATTTCACCTAACTTTAAAAAGAGATTATTATTCCTACACATCTAAAGAATCCAACCGAGAAATAGAAATGTCATTCTATCTTTTCTCTTAACTTAGAGAAGTGCCAATCCGCATAGAATAAGGGACTAATCACCACTACCACACCACAAATATGTTATTTGGCAGTGAGAATGATATGGTTTTCAATACTGAGGTAAACAAATTTGCATGGACAAAGTACAGTGACAACTAGTACTCTACATTTGATGCCAAGCGATACCTAAACACAATGCTTAAAAAAAGACAAAAAAAAAGTTGAGACCAATTGATTGCATGTGAGTTTATGCAGGAAAGAGTCAATATGGCACTGCACATATCCAAAGATAAAACTTATAATACCATTACACTGCCAAGTAGAAAATCCTTGACCAAAAGAATTGTGTCAAACATGAAACAAAATTAAAATAAAATTTGAATATACCATAGATCATTAACTCCTTCAAATTGTATAGTCGTTGGTAAATATAAATGATAGAAATGGTCAGATATTTACCTTGGGATTTTTAACTGTTTCATCCACACTTAAAACAAGGCAGGCTGCCTCCGTAGCAGCATTTATAGCATTGATCTGCAAATGTATCAACTTACTTAGACACCCCATAGAACAATAGCATTAGAATACAAAACAATGAAGGGTGTATACCTTCACAACTGCAGGCTCCCAGACAAAGTTGGCAAATGAATCGGCAATTCCACCCGTGGCAATGTCAACCCCAAACGGTGCCCCCTCACCTTAAGCAAGCAGATTAAAAAAAATTTAACTTCTGAACCACCAGAAGAACTCTACGAAGTTTACAATATAGAAAATGCATTTTAAGATACACTTCAACACACAGGCAGAAATGAATTCAAGGCCCTAAAATCTATAAATTAGATAGATTTTCTCATCTACAAACTTTAAGCAACCCCCAAGTGCAAAGGACATAAAGACAACACACTTGCAAAGAAATATACTAAATATGACAGCACAAACTAAATCCTGGTTACATTATTGTATAACAATAATGGTTTTGCTTCTGAGCAGGGATTTGAATGTAGTGGTTTGTGACTTAATGAGGCCAAGAAGCTATGTAAAAACGTGGTTTGATTATTCTTAGTAAAAGTAAACCCTTGAATAAATTTTCTAATACTTATAAGGTGAAGCAATGGTTAAGAGGATATAAATACAGTGGATAATCTAGTCAACATATATTTGCTAGCATCTTATTCCTGCTCATGCAAAAAAAAATTAACAAATACTCCAAAACAACTGCCTAGCACTCTGGCTCAGCCTTTTCTCCTTATATTTTGAATAAGAAAGATGCTTGAACATGTTTGATTAATTGAACCGAACCCAAGAATCTAATCTAATGCTCCGAATGTCAATATTTCTTAGAAGACCGACAATGAAATAGACAATAATTTTGTCTATGTGTGTATCATTGTAAATATGCATATTATTTTTTATTAATCGCAAGTGCTTGAGCTCAGTTCACATCTAAAATGACCAAGCCAAGCATTAACATATTATAAGATCCAGCTTGAATTTGTATTCAATTGAACAGCACCAATTATCTATGTTCAGCTAGGCTTGGCTCAGTTACAGCCCTACTTAGCACTTTTTCTTCATGCCAGTATTGTAAGAAATCGTGCATATAAAACAAAGATCGACCAACCAGAAGCCAGAGCGTGTTTCTGTCTTAGTTTGTTCAGCACATCAGTTGCATCAAATCCAGCATTGTCACATAATTGCCGAGGAATAACCTGCAATAACACCATAAATTCGTCTGCATAAAAATACAATTAAGCAACTATGCACGTTAAACCAGATACTCAGCAAAGTGATTTCAAGATGAGCTGATCAACAAATGGAAAAAAGCATATCTTGCAAAACTACAGCATTCTAAGTGGCCTCTGATAGAAAGTAGAGAAATTAAAGCCTCCGATCCAATGAGTGGATACTGTGTTCAAAATCACAAGGCATTAAATGCAGCAAATTTTAGGTTAAATAGCAACAAGAAAAGTTCATACACAAAAAGGGCAACTTTTCTCCCATCCCTTTCCTCCACAAAAATGCAATAAAAAAGCAAAAAGTGCTGCCAATAGCGGATCACACAAAATATAGTGGTTTGTTGCAATTTTGATTATGTTGTGGATTATAGACAATAGTGGTTTGTTCAAAATCTAATATGATATAATGCTATAACTTTTATTTGACACCACTAAAAGTATATGGTTAACAGTTTCAGATCAAGATCAAATACATGTATGAAAATTTTCCAGAATGATGCCAGGTTTGTAAGGCACTGAAGAACAACCGAACATTTATTATTAATGACGTTAATATTTGATTAAATATTTGCAAAGAAAGATAATGCCAATTGTGCTTATACTGTTAGTTGGAACTTTAGACAACTTGTGTCAAACAGGTGCTGAATCCCATTACATTCAAAGCTATGTTTCTAAAATGTAAACCAATACCACTATAGACTGCTTTTAATCTTCAAACACTTACCTCAAGAGCTTTGGCGTAGGAGTTGATGAAAAGCTGAGACTTTCCTGCTATTGTACGTGCATGCTGCCTTAGGTACCGGCTTATTTCCATCTGTCAACAATAACAACGCTAATTTTAACACTTAACAGTCACTATCATAATACAATGAAATGTAAAACAAAGTTTTGACTAGAGACATACATCTATAGCACCTCCACCGGCAACTACAGTTGAATTCTTCATAGCCCTTCTAACAATCATGATTGCATCATGCAGACTTCGCTCTGCTTCCTCTATGAACTGGGAAAAAATAGCAAAAATCAAATATATGCCCATAATGGCAGATCCAATTAATGTGTATAATTACAAGCTACATGAACACATATTTCACCACATGCAACAGACCTGATCGGCTCCACCACGAAGAACTATGGTGGCTGTTTGACCAGATGGACATCCATTGAAAATGTTGAATCTTTCATTTCCTACTTGCTTTTCCTCAAAAGTCTCGCAAGTTCCAAGAACCTTCAAGCAAATACACAAAATGTATTTCAGACTTTCAGCTGCAACACATAAAATTACAAAATGTGCAAACCATGCAAAATCCCACACAAACAATACACAACCTCGTCAATAATGTTATTAACAGATGTCTGTACAGTTCCCCCAGTTGCAGCAGCAACTCTTTTAAGATCTTCTTCTGCTACACGACCAGCACAAAAAATGTCTCTATCTGCAAAATACTGTAACAGGGACAAGTTACTACTAAGGATGTCAAGATACACTGATACTATGAAAATAAGAGCTAATACAAACAAAGCTAATTACAAAAAATAATTAATAGAAAAACAGAAGCTTATAGTTATTAGTTATACAATACATGTAAGTATATCATGAGTCAAAGTATATCATGCCCCACAAATTTTGTATGCTACTCATTAAAAAGGTTCACATATGTTGCGGAGAGCTGAGTGGCATACAACTTATAATAATATTGAATGAATAGTTCTACTAAAAATGACAATTAAAACCTGTGTAGCCAAATCGCCAATAGCAAGGCGTGAGAGAACAACTTTGGCACCACTTTGGACACATCGATCTAGTTTGTCATAAATAATATTCCATTCTGCGTCAACAATTGATTGATATTGTGATGGATCAGATAATCTGTAGAAAACACAAGTAAAGAAGAAAGTCACATTACTAAGCAACTCTTTAATAGAGCCTCGATATCAACAGACACAAAACAAACAAAACATTTTAAATATTCACACCTTATTTCAGCATTTTCTTTCTCAGACTTCAGCTCTAACTCAACATTAAGCAATAGTATTTTTGGATCATGAAACTTCTTGGGCTGCTGCTCAAATCCAGCATACGAAAATGTCTTTTTGAAGGCAACACCATTGACAAGAAATGAGTCACGCATGTTACCTCCAGGAACCTGCAGAAGAAAACCTGAATATTTATAACACCATTTCCACACACAAAAATGCTTAAATGGTACAGGCACGCCGTGGAATCATTTGGATGACAATTATATGTCATGACAGTATATAAACGGACCAGTTTTCCATGTGCTAAGATGACATCTACTGCAATAAACCTAACAAGATAACCTAACACTGACTAATGAAGTTTTTAATAACAATAGATAAAACTCCATGTGTTTAACATTTTCCTCCAGAGTGCCAAATTATATAGGAAAGAAGGTTGTAGAATAAGCTAAAAAGTTTACCTTCTTTATTCCAATCATATTTAACCTATCATCAGTCCCAATCGCAACTACAGCATCGACAACCATGGATGCAAAGAACTCCTTCTCCCCTCCTATAAGCTTTGAAGAAAGTGTTGTAGCAGCACACTTTCCTAGCAAGTTTTTTTTCTCTTCCAGACTTTTTCCCTCAATACTAACAGCTAGCTCTTTAATCTTCTCAATCGCCTGCAAAAATCATCACACACGACAAAAACAAATGCAACAAGTCAAAAACCCAACATTATCAATAGCATTTAATTACGGGAAAAATACAGAAAATAAAAATTAAATATTTGAAATATAACCGCATACCAAGGAACACGCAGTCCTGTAGCTTCGTATTAAATTTTGAGAGTGAACACCATCTTCAATAAAAGGCTTTGCCTCTCTTAAAAACTCAGCTGCAAGCAATACCACAGTGGTGGTTCCATCGCCAACCTTCACATTCACAACAACAATGACAATATTATAGTTTACTTACAAACAAACACTTAGAATTCAATTGAATTGGCTTAACTGAACTTACCTATTGGCATAAGCAGTTGCAACACAGTTTGGGAGAGCATACAACTTATTAAATGTTCATTGAGTAGTTTTCAACTTATTTCCATAAGTTCTCTATCTAATAGCATGTTTGGTTTGACTTTTGGAAGAGTCAAAAACAATTCTAGCGGTGTAGAATTGATTCTTGAGTGATTGAGGTGTTTGGTTCTTCTAAAGTAGAATAAATTTTGCGTCCAGAATTGATTCTTGAGTGATTTTGAGGTGTTTGGTTCTTCTAAAGTAGAAGAAATTTTGCCTCCAGAATTGATTCTACTTGAAGCTAGAATATGAAGCTTCTGAGTTTATACACTAAAATTTATTGTTCAACTCACTTCTACATATCCAAATATAAATCAATTAACTCAATTTTATTAAAATCAATTCTACCCAACTCAACTCAGTCAAAATCAATTCTGTCCACCGCCAATCCAAACACACTTAGCTTATGTGAAAACAGCTTATAGCTTATACGCAAAAATTTGTGTTTGCTATCTTTTGTTATAGAAATATCTTGTACATAAGCACCGACATGATAAGCACTTATGATATAAGCAATTATTTATGCAAGTTGTTCAACAAAACAGGACTTGATTCCACAACTTTAAACATCCAAACAAAACAAACACAATTACTAAAAATAAAAAATCATGTTTCAGAAAACCGACCTCAGAACAGAGTCCAAAAAACGAATTAAAAAACAGTTTCATTATAAGTGCAGTTGATGGAAAATGATGAGATCGGAGTCAGTTAGCTTAGCAATGTCAACTAGGATTTTTGCGGCGGGATGAACAATGGCACAAGCACTCGTTCAAGCACTTATGAGATAGTTTGGGAAGGCTTACAGTACAACTTATTAAATGTTCATAAGTAGTTTTCAACTTATTTCCATAAATTCTCTAGAGTAGATAATTTATTAAAACTGCTTATAGCTTATATGAAAAAGTTTTGAGTCTAATTTATCTTTTGTTACAGAAACAACTCATACATAAGCACTTATTTAAGTTGTTTAACAAATCAGGCTTAATTCCACAATTTCACAAGCACAATTACTAAAAACAAAAAAATGACGTCTCACAAAACCGATCTCAGAACAGAATCCTAACAATAAATTAAAAACACTTTCGTTATAACTGCAATTGATGAAAAAATAATGAGATCGGAGTTAGTTAGTTACCTCGGAGTCCTGAGACTTAGCAATGTCAACAAGTATTTTGGCAGCGGGATGAACAATATCAAGAAGCTTCATGATAGTGGCGCCGTCGTTCGAGATGGTTACTGAACCTTTATCGTCGTGGATGAGTTTGTCCATGCCGCGAGGACCTAGGGTGGTCCGGACGACATCGGCGACGGCGGTGCAAGCGTTGATGTTGCTTACGAGTTGTGGCTTCCCTTGCGATGTGTCTGTGCCTTCTTTCAACAGTATGATCTGAGGTTGCTGTTTCCAATAACGGCATTTTCAGAAATGAGTTAGGTTAAGTAAAGTTAGGGAAAGGGGGAAAGGGAGAATAGAGAGAACGTACCAGCATGGAAGACATGGTTGAAGACGTTGATGGAAGATGGTGGTAGAAGAGGAGGAAGAGTAATAGGGTTTAAGATTTTAGGTGTTTTGCAGAAATGAATAAGTGAGAGAGGACAGTGTTTTCTGGACAATGGTGAAGCGAAGCTTCATTTTCATATTTATTTTGGGCCTTGACCTAGAAGCCCATTTTGTACCCAACTTTCAGGAATTTAGTTGGCACCTCATAAATCATATCTAACACCCCACATATTTTCGTAATGTCGAAAATATTCCTTTCATTTTCGTTTTATTATATGTTACGAAATTTTCTCTCACTAAAATATTTGGAAATTTCTTATTTCATCCTATGTTTTCTAACGCACCATACGAAATTCTAAAAATGTCTCTGAAAATCGGAAATATATTTCTGATTCACATCATGTTAGACGTAAATTACGTTGGAAGAGTTGGGTACTAACCGTAAATATATTTTTGATTTATGGACTAACTAAAAAGTGTGTTGCCTCTTCCCCTCCCATTATAGTGCCATTTTGAAAACAAAAAACACAAAACACATCAAAACTCTCTCAATCTCATTTTCATCAAATCAACCACATTTACAACCTGAGTTGTTATAAATCATCAAGCATCAGTCTCTCAAGCATCCAAGCACAATCAATCAAGGAAAATCAACCACAATCAATCAAGTAAGTTGTTTTGAACTATTTAGAGTTTATGTAAAATCCATTCAAATATGAGATTTAGGTTTGAAATTGGGATTTTGTAGTTTGTTATCAATATTAGGAATCACTAGAAAGGTGTTGGCAATGTCATTTTCATGATCAATGGGTTTTTTGTGAGCTCGTTTGGGGGCCAAGGAAGCCATTAGCGTAGCTCTGTAATCGCAGCAGGACCGGAAATGCATTTCCGGTTTTAGCAAAAACAAAATCGCAAGTGCATTTTCGGTTTTAGTCTGTATTTAGTTTTCGCTTTGTTTTGAACATTGGTCATTAAGTTAATATTCTTTTGTACTTCTATAGGAGCAATGACTGAAAGACCGTCTCAATTGAGGCTCGGCAGGGTTGCACAGCATGCCTCTGTACAGAGAGAAAGGAGTCAGGCAACCCAGCTTCCTTCTGCCTTTGGACAGGACGTATCGAATGCACCTACTACAGCTTCAGCCTCTGGTGTTCATGCTTCTACTCCTACTACGTTGTCCTCACGCGACAGGCGGGATTCTCCAGTTCATTCGTCTCCGCCCCCGTCCTCTCATAGACGCATTTCTCTATTGAGTGTATATGAGGTGGGAGAGACATCTAATTCTCAGATAACACCAGAGGCCCAGCCACAACCTCCATCACAACCTCAGTCCCATATGACACCTGAGGCGGCTCCTCAGCCATCCCAAACACCTGAGCCTGCTGTGATCGGTGGATCTGGAACTGACTGTTTAACACTGGTTCGCGAAATGTCGCGGTAAGTAAGAGTCGCCACCGTCTTTTATTTTCTCCAACATGGACAGGACAAAAGCACAACAAAATTCCTTATGAGATAGTTTCTCGGTTCGGGAGGTAGATTTATAGAAAGGGAAGGTGTTAGCACCCTTTCTATCCATGGTTATCCATGGGCTCTTAGATACTTGCTCATTATGTTTTCAAAATGTTTGCTTTTCAAAGTGTGAGTGGGTTTGAAAAAGTTTCGTTTAAAGATTTCAGAATGACTCTTGTATCAGTCCTCAAGAGTGTTTGAAAAATTGTTTTGAAAGCTTTTTGAAAAGTGTCGGTGTGAAAAGAGTTTTGATTTGTCTTTGAATAGAGCAAGTATCTACGAGTCATCCACCAACCCTAAGGAATTAGGCTGTGTAAATGTCCTTAAGGTAGTGCCATCCCACCATTGAGAGATAGGTAGCACCACCGTTGGAGGTGTTCGAGTCAATTCGTTTGTAGGGGCAGTGTGGTCACCAGAGCAACAGTAGGACACCTTAGAAGCTACCCTTATGCCATTGATCCTTTTTAATTCGAGGCAACTTTTCCGAGGCAACTTGTTTTGAGGCATATGGATCAACGGACATGAGGACTTACTAAAACGTCCTATACTCGACGACCACGTTTCGAAGGCAAGGCAACAGTGAGGCGTACCCTAAGAGTGGTGTGTGAATTTGTGTGTTATTTTCATGTTATGTTTTATCTTGTACATGTATCATGGTGATCTACGCTTATTTTTAATTTAGGCCATACATTCTTTCATGCAATTAGAATTTAAAAGTGCGGAAATTTAAATGCGGAAAGATAAATCCTACGCTATTACAAGGCGCGGGTCTATACATCGCCAAATTACAAAGACCCGTTTTTGATAAAGATGCGGAAAGTAAAGACGGAAAGATAAACCTAATTACTATTACATCTGAGAAACAGTTACATAATGATCGAAAGAAATAATGCGTGAAAAGAATTAAAATTAGGACGTCCGAGGGTTTTGACCCTTTGCATGTAATTAAATTAAATTAAAGTCCAATTAATTATTTAATTAAAGAAAAGAAAGTGTTTTAGTGTTTTTTTGTATTTATGAAAAATAAAGAACAAGAATTAAAAGGAAACCCTAAATCTAGATTATTTTAATTATTAATGAAAATATTAAAGTTAACCTAATTTACCAGTTAATTAATTTATTTACATGTTTATTTACAAAATTAATGATAATTAATAATAATGATAAATAATGATGATTAATAATTTATTTAAGAAAAAGATGAAAATGTCAAAAAAAACCTAATTCTAGATACTTTTTACTTATTAAGAAAAAGATTAAAGTTTAAAAACCTAAATTAAACTAAGTTAATTGTTAGAGTTTATTTACAAAAAAAATAGGTTAGTGATGAAATTAATAATAATTAAATATATTTGTATTTTTGATTTTTTTGTTTTTATTATAGAAAATTATTTTATGGTGAGAAAAACAATTAAAACAATTAAAAAAGAATTAGAAAAGAAAAGAAAATAAAATTAAAAAGGATGCAAATCAAGGGGGGTTTCAGGCCCAAGGGGAGGTTTTTTTGAAGTATTCTGGCCCATTAGACAAAAAGTCTTGTTTGACTTTCTGGCATCACGTGCGTGTTCATTGACTCCTGAGTACCGTGGTCTGCATTCTTTGGCCATTGGATTAGGTTTCATGGCCATTTGTGTTCTGGCTGTTGGCCATTTGTGTTCTGGCTGTTGGCCATTTGTGTTCTGGCCTCAACGTTCCTTAATCTTCTCAGGATGTCTGTCTCGCCATGTATTGGTGTCATGCATAAGTTGTTCTTTTGGCCATTTGGCTTTTGGCCATTTGGCTTTTGGCCTCAACGTTCCTTAATGAACCTGCATGGGATCCTGTCTAAATCTGCAGTGTTGAATCTCATGAACACATTAAATAAAATCATAAAATGCAAATAAAGCCAATATATGAAAAATTTTAATGTTTAGGCACAATATGGCATGTATGAATGATTATACCCTTTTGATCATGGAGATCAAACCAGCCTTACCCTTACTGAAGAAGTAGTGAGGTGTTGGTTTGTAACTGTGATGGTTTGTTTGTAGTGAGAGAGGGATTTGTAATAAGGATTTCAAGGTTTTAGGGTTCTTGAAAGAATTTGATATTCTGACAGTGTTGTGGCCAGGTTTTTTTTCTCTCCTTTTTCTCCTCCCTTGTTTGTGTGAAAAGAAGGTGATTATATAATGGAAATTAGGATAAAGAAAATGGGCTTTGAATGTGCAATTGAGCCTCCAATGTTCACTTGAGTTCGTCACTTTCCAGGCTAAATCGCAGGGACTTAAGTGCAATTTTTGAAGTTTAAATGTGAATACAAAATGTAGCTGACATCGAGAACTAATTCCTGTCCGAAAATCGGCTCAATCGGATAAACGGTGAATTAGTTATGAATTTTTGAAGTTTCAGCTCAGACAAACTTATTTTGGGCTCCAGTGTCGACTCTGACACGTTCTTCAATAAAAAACTGGTATTGATCGGAGCATAATTCAGTCTCGACTTTTGAATCAAAGTTGTAGATCTATGAGTCAGTGACCTTGTGTAAAAATATGAGCCCAATCCGATAAAAATTGACCGAGTTATGAATTTTCGAAGTTTCGACCCAGATGAAATAATATTCAGCATTCAGGATTTTCAGCATGTCACGCACTCTGAGCAAAAAGCGAAGGCCTTTTGAATACCGTTTGAACTCAATACCTTCTGTGAAAATGTAGCCAACTCAATTTGTGAAATTTTGGCGCCGGAACCAGCTCGATACGATGAAAATCGACCAAGTTATGATTTTCTGAACATGACGCAAATAAACTTCTGTCACAAATTTTCTATATGAAAATACTTGATAAATCCACATTTTTGAAGACCTTCTGATCGAAATTGGCTTCCAGCCGTGAGAGATGAAAACATAGATAATGTCAAGACGGAATTTAGGCCACCGGAACGGGTTCAAAACGAGCCACTATCTTCAAGTTATGAATTTTTTAGCGCGTAAAAAAATGCACTTTCAGCACACTTTTTCACCATATTTCTTCGAGCAAACTCACACATTCGGATACCTTCTTTAAAGAATTGACTCTTGAGCCAAACCTGAATTTGAGAATATGTTATCAGAGATATCTCGGCGAAAGAACACCTGAATATGATGCGCCGGCTTGGACTTGTGAATTTTTCTTGAAATGTTTTGAGAAATATGGGAGGGCAAATTTTGGGGTACAACAGTTGCCCCTGTTCAATCTTCTTAAACCTGAGGATATAGATTGGCTTGCGTGCCTTTCGTGATCCGAAGGTGGAAGATGATTGAACACTAAAGTGCCCAGAAATTTGCACTCGCATAGTAGGATATCAGCAATGTGATGTCGAGAATGGGCTTACAGATGCTATTTGGAGAGATGACGGATAGGAGGATGGGCTTATAGATGCCATTTGGAGTTGTGACAGAGCCTTGTCGGGAATGGGCTTATAGATGCCATTTGGAGACTGTTGGTATGTGGATGGGCTTATAGATGCCATCTA